CAGGTCGCATTGGGCATTTTTGCTTGGTGAGTCTTTATTACGTTAGAGCAATAAGTTGTAAGAATTTTGTACACATGTAAAAATTATATAACAGTTCACATGAATAAAGGCAGGATTGCTTAAAAAAAAAAAAAAAAAAAGTATATAATTTTTATAACTATGCCTAGTATAGGCTATAATAGTGCTTTTATAAATTGTGGTTTTTTCTGACTTTTTCTTCTTTTTTCATTTGTTTTTTTTTTATTTTCTTGTTGCTTAGACAGTTTTTTCTTCCTCTTTTCATTTCATTCTCTTATATTTTTTTGTTAATATTAGTTTTTTTTCATATATCAGTTGGAAACTATTAATCCTTCTGCTCTGGAAGCTAGGAGAAGAAGGTTAGAAAAAGAGGCAATCTTGATAGGCCGTAAATATTATTCAGTAATATACCAAAATATTCAGTGGCAGGATATTTTGGTATTGAGATAAACTTTACTATAACAAATCGAACATGGGTAATTTGAACATTTTGGTATCACAAAGAGCCAGGTTAGCTAATACTTGTAATTTAGGTGGGCTTTAGGCAACTAGAGTTAAAAATTATATTTTCTCCATAAGTTAAATATTATTCTCTAATAAAGTATTGGCAAGATTGCCAAATTTATCAAAAAAAAAATCTTTAGTATTATTATTACTCAAGTTTAAAATTTACTGTAGCTAAAGTATATGCAAAAATACTGTTTCTAATGGATCATTAGTACCTTTCCTGATAGGACCAAAAAAATACTGATTTATATACTTTTCTTGATGGATAGATGTTGCACAAACCTGCATTTATTTATTTATATTTATTTAAATTAAATAGATAGATAACTTACTTGTTGCCAATATATATTTTACTATATAATGAAAATTAGTATTCTTGTTTATTATCTCAGCTTAATTAATTTAAATATATATATATCAAATATTTTAATTAAAAATAACTATTATACTTAACCAAAAAGACAATAAAAAGTGGTGATTTATTGATTAAATCAACAAAAGCATGTATAAAGTACTATAGATTATCTTTTCTAGTTAGATTATTATAGTTACTGGTAATTAATATAAATAAACCACAATTTTAGTAGCAAATTACTATAGTATTAATAAACTTGTTTTAAAGTTAAAATTTGAAATTATACTTTTTTGTTAAAGTGTCTTTTTGATATTATGCTATATCTTTGTACATATTAATAAACCAGCAATCACCAATATTGTTATAATTTTTGATCATTATAATTATATACGTATATTTAATTTTTCAGAATATAAAATCAAAATATAAATAATAGATTATGCATTAATGAAGCTTTTACTAGTGTATATTTTTAAATTAAAAAATATTTCCCATGATGTGTTTCCTCAAGGTATAATCATAAGAGTGAATGAAAAGGGGTGGTGCAATGAATATGAGATGCACTATTGGATTAATAACATTTGAAACAAATGTAGTAAACTAGTAAAACTACAGTTCCTTCTTGTCTTGGACTCCTTTTGGGATCTCTTAGTAGATTCTGTCAAATATCTTTTTGGTGAAAACAACACTCTCCTTGCAGTAATTCTGGGAGGGTTAACTAGCAAACTCCAGCCTTTGGATATCTCAGTTAACAAAAGCTTCATAAGTAAGGTATATACAAAATTTTTATTTGTATTAAATACATATTAATGATGTATAACAAAACTATAAGTTTTATTTATTAAGCATATAATATTAATAAAAAATAAAATTTTTAGGTACATTGCCACTATGATGCATGGATATCTGAAACAATTTATCAATTAATACTAGCTAGACATTTTCGAAAGCTATCATATACTACACATATGTGCTAATATGCGTAATTATATAGGGATATGCAACAGTAGATTTAGTACTCTAAAGGATTTTTATGGAGTGTCAGATTGTTTAACATTATGCTTGCCACCCATATAGGTACAAAATTGATGTCAAACAAAGTTCTAGATATCAAATAATATGCTCAAGTAGAGCCTAACCAATAGAAAGCAGATGGGTTTTGGCTGGGACAGATGGGTTTGATGCATGGTTTTGTATAATTATTATATTCTTAAATTATTTAAGTTATAGTTTAAAATTAATAGGGCATAATCGAGTAATTGTTCTGTACATTTGACTAATTAAAAATGAGAAAATATGAGGTTCAAATTAAAATTTGGTGTCACTAACTAAGGCCCAATTCTGCCGATTAGCCTATATGACTTGCTTAGTGGGTAATGGATTTGTAGAAAGAGATTGATCCTCACTTGATTATAAAAGCATTCAATTGTTGTGGTATCTTGGTTAAAATGGATGAAACAGAGAATGATCTGGTTTTTGATTATAATAAAGTAAATGAGAATTCAGCAAGTGAAAACAATAAAAATTCCGTACCAATAAATTTTGATGATATTGAAGGCAAAAAGTATGAAAAAGTTGAAGGTAGCAATAATATTTGGGAATAGAATTTTAGATTTTTGATTCTAATAATTTCAAGATATGATAATAAAGTTTTGAGTTTATAGATTTTGGCAAAGTAAAAATAAAATACAATGTTTTTTAATTGCAAATTTTTTTACTGCCATTGTTATATTACCTATATAAGTGGGGTTCGACTAAATTTACTGTGCAGATACTGTGCTAGTTAAAATCAAGATGGTATAATAAAAGCCACATTACCTCAGATCTTGAAAGTTAATTGGCTAAAAGTTTTTTTATTTATAAGTTTTCTGGAGATAGAGTACAACTCATAGGGGGTAGGGTACCGTGATTAATACCCCGGTATAAATCATGATTTGGTGTTCAAAATCGCCGCAGGGTACAGCCCACGAGGGTACACATGTCGCAGAAATATGGTAAATATTTTAAAAAATCTTTTATAGGCTATCTATAGTAATTCTGATATGTCATTTTACACTAAAAGTATCATTGGTAATATGAAAATATTTTTCCGAAAAAAGTTATAATCTTTATTATCTGTTAAATATAGAAAAACATCAACCCAAAATCCTTCAATTTTTTGGATCATCTTTGTTGAAAAATTATTAAATTTAATGAATGAAAAACAAAAAATATTATTTATTATAGTTTGATTAAAGGTTAAAAGATAGGTTATATTTATTACGTTTATATCAAGGTATTGATTATTTGCTTTAAAGGCTTCGAGCATTAAAAATAAATTATTTTTTTAGATCAGATTAAATTTTGTTGAGAATTCATTGATTATCATGTAAAAAATGTATTGAACAACCTTTATCAATGATAACTTTTGAAGAAAAAAGGATGGCTTATAGCTCACTAACCTGTTTATTGAAATAACAACTTACTTGGTTAAATTATTTAATTTCTGACTATTGAAAATCTATTGAGCGATGTACTTGAGAAAACTCTAATTAAAAAATTACCTCTGATTCATTGAGTGAGATGCTTGAAAGTATCCAAAGTTAGTGGTTTCTGCATGATTGATTATACGTAAAAATTTCATTACATACAACATATGAGTGTCGCCAAAGGGAAAGCCTACAAGTTGCACTTTTTAAATATTAGCTTTTAATAAAAATATCTTAAAATCAGACAATTTAATACCTACTGTTCTTAATATTATTTGAATTGTCTCATTAAGATAATTCAAATGATATTAAGAACAGTATGTATTAGATTGCCTGATCTTTAAGATATTTTTATTAAAAGTAAATAAACAAAAGATACGACTTGTAAGTTTTCTCTTGACAGCACTCATTTTTTTCTACAGATTTTTAGAACATCAACTTAAGCTATTCTCAAGCATCTAAATCAATTAATCGGATAATAATCGCAATGACGCTCAGATATCACAATTGATGACCATATTTATAAAAATAAATGCTTGAGCATACTTTTTCTGTTTTTCGTAATGTTCGCTTACTACCTAAAAAACCTAATTAAAAAATTTCTTTACAATCAACAGTTAAAGTTTCGACTTTAATTACATCAGATTCTCCTTTTAATGATTTTAACAATTTAAATTCCTTTACTACCAATCAAAAATGGAAAACCATCTATCAAACCTTTCAGCTTTAGTTCTTCTTTACAGAGAAGATTTTAAAATTAAATGACTGAAAAATGAAAAACCAGTATTCATTATGGTCTGGTTAAACGTTAAAAGATTGATGTATTTATATTAATCTTTCGATTGTTTGTTTTAAAAGCTTCAAACATTAAAAATAAAGTGGCTATCTTTTTAGACAAGTTAGAAATTTGTTAAGAATTAATTGTTTATTATAATTGATATGTAAAATATATAAAATTAATGCTTGGGCGACCTTTATCAATGGTAAATTTTTAAAGAAAAAGGTGGTCTGTGTCTCGCTTATTTTGTTTATCAAATAATAACACATTTGGTTAATTTATTAAATTTCTGACCAATTAAAAATTTAAATTTACTTCTGATCCAATGAGTGAAGTGCTTGTAAACACCCTTGCTCAGTGCAGCAATATTGTTAAATTTCATCAGCATTTATATTCGATGATTAGTTTGTACGAGAATTTATAGAAGAAAACTCTTGCCAACCAACAAACCTTAACAAAAAATATCAAAAAGAAGCTCTCAGCGCATGAGCAAGAGTATAACTAGTTGTAGTAACACAATAAATTTATATAATACAGCAATATTATACGAAAAAAATAGATACACATATGTTACAAAAATTTTTGTATTTAAATTTTCTTTGTAATATTTTTTTATTATTGTATTACGTAGTATTCGTTACTATATTTGTTAGTTCTATTGTATAGAGTGGCTTTGTATAGGAGATCTGGGTTTGAAGCCACAGATCATGGTTTGAGACCATGGATCTTGGTCTGAGACCACCGATATTGGTCTGAGACCACAGATCTTGGTCCAGAACCACTAGAATTTGAAAAGTATAAATACAATGACTGAAGATAGATCGCTTTGGTTTTGAATATATCTTTTGGCTCCGACTAAATAAATACATTCCTTAATAACCCATTATCATCAATTCCGAATCCTCTAATGAACATTCATCTTGCACAGTGATGATGATTTTCTGCGGCAATTAAACCAAAATTCTGTCATCATTAATTTGCAATTTCTGTGATTATTCTGCGATTTGAAAATATGTGAATTTGAAAAAAAAAAACTTGCAATTTTTGAAATACTGCGCTCAACTAAACATCAGACTTAATTAATTACTTAATTATTACATAATTATTACAGTACGTATTAATTAAATATTTGTAATCGATAAAAATATT